TGGTTACTGATTTGTAAGCAAGAGTAGTACGTTTATGTTGAAGTTCTGATTTAATAAATAGATTTATTTCTAAATCTTCTTAAACCTTGCAATTCTTTTCAGACATAGCGATAATTCGTTCTGAGGAGTTTGGACTTAGTTTGTAATACCAAAGAATAACTCTATCAATTAAAAGATTTAAAAGAATCATTTATTAAAAATTAATTTAAATTAAAATTATTGCCACTCGGCAAACGGTATGATATTATGTTTTCAGATTTCAACAGAAAACTCGGAGATTTGAAAGAAAAGTGTTGCCACTCTAAACGTAAGATTACTTATCGTTCAAGTTTACACAACGAACTCAAGTACGATTTAAGAAAGGTACTACCACTAACGATTTAAGAAAAGTACTACCACTAACAATTTAAGAAAAGTGATACCACTAACGAAGTAATTATTTTACCTTCCATGCGCCACTGTGTTGCAACAAACTAAAGTGCAAGATAGTTGTCTTTCAAACGTAATAAAAGAACTCAGCAGTTTTGAAAAATAGTACTGCCACTGCCGTAAAGAAAATATTTCTATCTTCCACGCCTCAGCATGTTGCCACTCGGAAAAGCGTAAGTTACTTATTTTTTTAGCCCAAAAGGGACGTTTCTCCAGAATGGATTATTAGTCTCGAAACGGCATTTTGCGTTGAAAGACTATAAATGGCGTATCACTTTTCAAATTGTTGCCACCAAACACTATCATCCTGTGTTTAAATGACTTAAATAATGAAGAATCTGCATGAATGCATGTATGTTTCTAGCACTGTGAAAAAACAATGGTACCTAGGGCGAACAAATTTTGAATAACGTAGTTCTCCACCCGAACACGGGCACCTGGAAGCCCGAATTTGGAATTCCGAATTGGTTTTATTATCTATTTCATATTTTGTAAAACTTAAAACAAATTTTTGTTTAACAAACTCAGCGGTTTGAAAGCGAGTAGGGGCAACACTGTACGTAGGAAAAAAAATTATCTCCAGAGCATGAGACTGTCTATCGGATGTTTTAAGCATTAATTATTTCATTTCAATTATCTTGCGATTAATTATCTAATCCCATGATTAATTTTAATTATCTTGTGATTTTTCTCTTGAAGAAAATTTTATGTGACGTAAGTGCCAAGAAAGTGATATTTAATAAACACACAAACAAGTAACACACAAAAGTACTAACATTAAACACACAAAAAGTTAATAATACAAAGATAAAAAAAATGTTTTGTAAAGCTATCTTAGTAAAAATGCTGAACATTAATATAATGAGCTAATAAAAGACTGAAAAAAAATTGTTATGCCAACATTTAACGCTACATCGAGCATTCTAAACGTTTAGTGTTATGCTGCTTTAAAATATTTTGTAATTCTGCTTTTGAATTGCATATGGCGGAAGTATGAAGAAACATGCTTAATAATAAAGCTAAAAAGACAAATAAAAATGGATTAATAAGAGTGATTGTAACAGCAGACTAGTAGATTGCGAGCTCAGCGAGCGTAATACCTTAACAAACCCTTTTGGACGACTGTTAGAATCTAAAGCCTTTCAAATTTTTAATTATCTTGATAACATTTTATATAACTGTATTAGACTGCTCCCACACCAGTGTAGTTAATGAACTACTTTGATGCAGTGAACATCTTGTTCGAAACATCAGAAACCGGGATGTGTTAAAAGTCTGTAGACACAATGTGCATTTATTGGTTACCTATTAACAAAACTAACAACATAAACAAGAGTATCAAATTATTTTTCTTCTTTTGTGTTTGTATTTAAGATAATATAATACGTATCCTCTAGCTTAACTGTTGCGTTAACATACTTTTTTCACAGGGGACTTCAATATTCAAATAACTCTATTAATTTCTTATCGATAGCATCATCGCTTAATTTTTACATTTATATATATTTATTAAAAATTATATAATATTTATTAAAAAGTTTTATTTAAAAATGTTTCATTATTTTACAACACGATTCGCTTCGTATTCTAAATGCACAGCTATAAATACGTCACGGAAAACCATAGCTAAAAGTACAACACAGAATTCCTGCAAATATTGATGACAATAATACACCTGCTTTGCTTATGGTATGAGTCACACGTCAGTGTGTTATTTAAGTACATTCGGCCGCAGCTTTATTTCATCATAGAACACACATATTCAATTATCATTTCGTTCACTGAACTTATAGGAATATAACAACAAACATATTTACTACTCGAATTTATATTCTACTACTAATTTCTACTGTCGCACTACAAACATACTCTACAGAAATGTAGATTATGACATCAAAATGCTCCTACCAAGTAATAGCAACAAACGCGGAATGATTTAAATCTAGTATTATGAAATGGACGCAGGTAATCGAAATGTGCTTTCTTCAAGGATGGAATGTATAGAAGTGTTCTGGAGAGCGTTTATGGACGCTAATAAAGTTGGATGGATAGTTTATTCGTAATTTAATATAAAACTTCGAATAAAATTAATTGAATGATGAAACTGAAATATTCTGAATGAAATTGATTGAAATAAAATGAATGAAACTGAATAATAATACTTTTATTTAAATCTTTGAATGAAATTTTATAAAAGGGCGTTCTGCCTACATGCAATATGTCAGTAACTACCATCGTGCTATTATTGTATGTGAGCTTTATTTATAAAAATGATTTGCTGTTTAAAATACGACTGAGTCTTGTTTATTTTATATTCCTATTAAAATCACGGGGTTAAAATGTCTTAAAATAAAGTTTTCAAAGAATTAATTTATAGTAAACTCTCAGTTAATCTCGCTAGGGATTAAGCAAACACTCTGTCTAGAAAAAGGTTACGTTTACTTAGGACAGAGCTATTCAAAAATTATTACTACGAACCAACAAAATTCATGAATCAAAAATCTGATGTAGACACCACATGACTTCCTTATACGACCGAATAAATTATATGTATGTTTTGCTGCAGATCATTTAAGCTTATTTCCTCGAATTGTTCTTTGATCCTTCGAGGCAGGTTGAAAATTGTATTAAAAACTGTAAATTTTGAAATTAAATATCCCGCTCAGTTCTCTAGTTTACTATTATTTGTTAAGTGAGTAGATAAATTTCGGTTATCGTCTGCCATCTTTAAAATTATAGAGTTGTTGTTTTATCTTACATTTCCAAATCAAAGTATAATTAAAAATAAGCAGTTATTTTTTTAACTTGTGCCATTATTGAGTTTATTCTAAACGCGATTATTTGTTGAACAGCATTGACGAAGATTTAACTACAGTCAATTAGATGACGGTCTAGCCTAATTTTTGTCACCATTTCTTAATTATTTGACGAAAAGCAACGTTCAATAGTTCTGAAACCTTCCATTTAGAAAACCGCACACATTCAGCAAACGACTTTTTGTGATTACTAATTTTTCAGCGATAACTTCGAATACACTTGCTTCTTGATAGCTTCCAATTTGCTTAAAGGATTTACAAGTTTACCATTCGAAATGGTAAAGATAAATATATTCTGTTTAATCTCGCTTAATATCTTGTTGTAAAAATTCACTTGATTAAGAAATCGTAATCCATAAACTTCGTCTGTCTAGCTGTTTAAGCATTTGTAATTTATGTTAAAATTAATACATTAAAACTAGCGCATAATTCCATTATTACAGCTTGTCCATCTCCAATCTTGCTGAATGTTACGTACTCCTGCCTCCTAATCACTTTGTTTAAGAACATCACTTAACAACAACCATATAAGTTAAACAGTAAAAAACATCAACAAATCAACTTTACAAGTTAATATATAAGCAAGATTTGGAAAATTTGTACATAAATGGCAAGAAAATGAGTTCTAACTTAGACAAGGTCAGTAGACAAACAAGATTATGCTCTTTCAAGGTCAAGTCTTTCTCTTTTTGATGCTCGAGACAGTGACGTATCTTATGTATCTGCTCAGACTTGAATCAAGGACGTCGGTGTTACCACACTAGTTGACCTTGTTCAATATGAGCAAACCTTGTAGTATAGTAACCTTGTCGCACACACACAAAAAAATAGGACTGTTCTATATTTCCCGTTCTACTGGGCCGATTGACCAAATTTCACCTGCGCATTTCATGTTTTGAAAAAGCGGCTAAGGACATATATTAGATTTATATATAGCATTGGTTTAAGTGTTCTGACACAAAATCAGACCTTTTCTGAAATGACCTATTGATTTGTTTTCCTTATTTAGATTCTACGACTCAAATTATGCTTAAATATTAAATTTTGTGAAATTTCGTGACAAACTTACAAAAAATTCAATTTATCTTTGCGCATTTTTTTTAGTTTACGCCAAGGATAATTCACTTGGCGAAATTCTGGACTTATGGTAACCTATTTTTCAGCCCCTTTCATTGCACACGAGCAGGGAAAAAATGCATCGTTCATTCTTTCAAATAATTTTAATAAAGTGCGTAAACTATACTTGGCTTTTTTACCGCTTATAACAAGTACGCCGAATTTCAAAACGCTCCAATATGTAAATTTACATATATCTTTGTGAATTTTGAATAAAAGACTCTAATGTTTTGCAAGTACGCCTATAAATATATCTACTTTAAGATGAGAGCAAAACTTTTATAAGTTAAAATTCAAAACGCTTTTTAAAAAATACAAAATTTTAAAATAAATAAAAAATATCTGCGAATTTTATTTGGACTGAATCTGAATTTCAGATTGTAAAAGAAGAAATCCATTAAGTTTAATAAAAAAAAAAAGAGATATATTAAATATATACTAAATTCAATTAATAACGAGGAGCTAAAATTTTTATAGTTAATTTTTTAAAAACTACTCGTGAGATTTTTTTACAAAACTTTGTATTTTGGCATAATCTGAGTCGTAGACTGGAATATGGAAAAAAAATCTGTTTGAAATTTCAGAAAAAGTTCGATGTTGTATCAAAATACCTATGTTTGAACAAAAGTTGCACATAAATCTAATAAATATCCTAAGTCGCTCTTTCGGGACATGAAAAACGCAAGTTAAATATCGTCAATCGGCTCAGTAGAACGGGAGATATAGAACTGGTCCTCTCCCTTTTCTGTATGTAAAGTGTACATCACAGAAGCACTAACCAAAGTTGAGTTGGTTAGAAACAAAGATTACTCAAGTCAATAACTTAGCAACAACTGACAGATGGCGTCTCAGAATAGCAAATGATTTGGCAATAGCAAAGATGCGGCATGAGAATGACGTTCAAAAGTCAGCGGTAACTTTGGACAATTTTCATCCACCTTCACTTGTTGTTGTTATCATCCTTCATGTAATCTTTCCGCTTCAGCATTGCAAAATGAGTCAGATGTAGCCCGCCCTTTTTCTTGTTACCTCTTTCCAAAGTTCCAGTCATGCTGTATCCTTGCCTAAAGTCAGCTGAAGTCACATGAGTTGTCAGGTACATCCTGAAAAAGAAATCATACATTTTTCAGGAAAAAATTCATCTGGTGAAAATATTTTGCAACGTCCATTGTAAGATTTAAGCAGTACAAAAATAAAACACTTAACTTTAGATTTCTGATCCAGTTTTGTTGTAATAGGGGGACCGGAAAGTAACGTCGCTTTCTTACATTAAATTCACACGAATACATTTTTAACACGTTTTTATTTATTATATCAACAACCTTTTTCCATCTAGTGTGCAGATTTTTAATCCCCGAACCGATATAAATCAATTGGGTTTTGAGTAAGATGTCTCAAGATGGCATTTTGGACATCATTCAAATTTTCAAATTTTTTGGCACTAAGAAAATGTTGTAGGGATCGGAATAAATGGAAATCCGAGTGTACGATGTCGGGCGAGTACGGTGGGTGATGCAGCACCTCCCATCCCAATTCATTCATTTTTTCCAGTGTCCGTCTTTCACAGTGCGGTCTTGCAATGTCGTGTAGCAGAATGATGCCTTTTCTATTGACAATCGCCGGATATTTTTCGATTAAACATTGGTTCACTCGATCCAATTGTTCACAATAAAGATCTGCATTAACAGTTTGTCCAGGTTTCAGCAATTCAAAATGAACAATTCCGCGAATACTCCACCAAACACACAGAAGCGCTTTTTTGGGATGTAAACCCTTTGTAACCCCTATTAAAAACTGCCTTTTGCGTTTTGGATTATCATACAGGCCCCATTTTTCGTCTCCAGTAATCAAATGACTAAAAAACGGTTCTGTATGGTGCCGTTGAAGCAATACGTTGCATGTGTTGGATCGGTTGGCTTTATTCTCTTCTAACAAATTATGGGGGGACTCAAACACCTGCTTTGCTTATTTTCCCATTCTGCTTTAAATGTTCTTGGATGGTCGACCAAGGTTGGTTAAGAGTGTTTGACATGGATTTGCTTCCACTTCTGCCCTTAGCATGTTGTTCTCGACATGCGCAGAAACGACATTACTTTCCGATCCCACTATTACATTTTCAACTCTATTATTGCAGTTTTAAATTTGTTCAAGTTTGAGAGGTCAGTTGCCTAAAATACTTGTTATAAAAAAAGAAAAATATATGTAATGAGTTTAATGAATACAGCTAATGTTTTTTACAGGTTTAGCTAGTAATTAATAACAGCTGAAATCTCCACGTTTATTGCTTCAGGTCAAGCCAGTAATTAATAATAGCTAAAATTTCCACGTTTATTGCTTTCAAATCGCTTAGCTTGTTAATTAATCAGCTTAGCTCCATCATTAAAATGGAGTGTCAAGTCGACAAAAATAAACATTTTCGACACTTTGTTCTTTTTGCGTTTAATCGAGGCGCCAATGCTGCAGAAGCTGCCCGAGAGATTTGTGAAGTGTACGGAGAAGGTGCAATGCCCGAACTAATTGCAAGAAATTGGTTTTTCAAATTCAAAAATGGAAATTTTGACCTCGAAGACGCTGCTCTTTCAGGACAACTAGATGAGTTTCATCAAGAACGTTTAAATCAACTTCTGCACGAAGACGCGAGTCAAACCACTCGAGACTTAGCCGAACGAATGGGTTGTAGCCAAATGACTACATCTTGGGTCTATGGGAAAAGTCTAAAAACTCGCATATTATTGACTAATTTATTGTTTTTGTTTTGTTAAAAAAATTTTAATTAAAAAACGGGCATTAATTATGTTTCAATCCAATAAATACAATATACAACTATTCTGCGTATAAGCAGGGTATTATATAGCTTAATCCTACTCCAAATTTATTCTCGGAAAAACTGCTGAGAATACGTTCTAGAATATTCTCGCTCCGTCAATGGCATATCGTGAAATGGACGATTTCGCGCTAAATGTGGCCAACCCTGCTTCCTTTGCCGCTTTTAAGCAACCATAACCTTACAACGCGGGGAAGCTGTCTTACCGCAGCTGGCCATTTCGCAACAATATTTACGAAAATGCGTTCACTGTAATTCAACAAAATGAATTACAGCAAATTTCACTATATTAATTTATAGAAATTAATGCTTTCGAATTTTTCGATTGTAAATAATTTCTTGGTTGAAATACTCAGTAAAGGAAAAATTAGAAAATATTAATTTAGTTTACATAGTGGAAAAATCATCTCCTTATTTAATTGAAGTTCTCTTAGGTATATAATAAAAACGTTTATCTTCGGATAATTAAGGTTCTATTAGTTGCTTTTTTTTTTTTTTTTTTTTTTTTTTTTTTAAATGTCTGTGTGTGTGAGTATAGATCTATACACACAGCTCCTTACAATTATTATGAAGTGAGTATGTTATTTTGTTTTCATCATCATTATTCAGAGATCAAAATCAGAGAAAGCTTCTGATTTTGCTTAAATATTAGCTTAACTTTACCCCATCCTCAAGACGTTTAGAAAGCGAACTCTTCCAAATTTTAAATACAATTTTTAAAAAATTAAAAATTAAAAAAAAAGGAAATCTGAAAGCTTTTAGATTTTAAATTACGTCCTAAGGGGCGTTTTTTTAACAACCTTTATTTATTAAATATCACGTTCTTCGCACTTAAACCATAAAATTCAGTTCAAAAGCAATATCGCTAAATAGATTTAAATTGAACATATCTTTAGAATTTCTGATACAGAGTCTCCCGCGTTGGAGATAAAAATGTTTTTTCTGTACAACGTTGCTATTGCTCGCTTTGAAATTCTTGAGTTTGTTAATCAAAAATTCGTTAAAGTTTTACAAAATAGGAAATCGATAATAAGACAAATTCCAAATTTCAAATTTGGGCTTTCATTCAAATCAAATATTCGCAGTAGGATTATGTTATTCAAAATTCGATGGCTCTATGCCATCGAATTTTGAATCGTTGTTTTATCCCAATGCGAGAAATAGACATACATTTATGCAGATTTTTCATTATTTAATTTCGTCAAATATAATGCAGGACTCTCACATTTGGTGGCAACAGTTTGAAAAGCGAAACGGACATTTATAGTGAACCAACGCAAAATCGCAAAACGAAAACAATAGTCCTTCAGGGACAAAGCTCCTTTGGACTAATAATTTTAAATTTTAAATTCGTCTACATAGTGTTTGTTTTTAGTCTTACTATTTGAACTTTTCGCGGATTTTGAGTGCGTGTCCTTTGATCGATGAAGCAATTGTAGTGAAAGATATGATAGTGATCGATTATAGTGATCGATGAAGCAATTATAGTGCGTGTCCTTTGATCGATGAAGCAATTATAGTGATAAAACAGGGTCATCTAACGTTGTTGGATGGTTTTGAATATCATTACACGAGAGAAGACAGATTGAACGGTGACGCGGTGATGAAGACGATGACAATTTATGATAGCGTCGAGTTGCAAGTGTAGCAAACTACACAGTTCCAGCAACACTGAATGATCTGAGGCCCGAGGAGTAGCTGCGGACAACAGTTACAGAACGCGAGATTTGAGGTACAGGGATATAGAAATGAAAATATTTTATTAGAGTGTAGAGACATTAGATTATTGCGAAGCAGGAAATGTGAAAAACGAGCAGTGCCCTCGCCGGGACTCGAACCACGGACCTCTCGAATACGCGTCGAGCGTGCTGACCACTACACCACGAAGGCATACTAAGAAGACGGGAAAAATACCTTATAAAATATTGTAATTTTAATAACACTACGTATTCGTACTAGAACGTAAGTTTCTTTTAAATAAAAATATTATCATAGGTACCGGCACCTTATCCCTAATATTTTTCATTTCTTATCATCTTATTATAACCGTAATCTTTGGGAAATAAAATTACTCGCATAATTTTTCCCTCTCGATTTTCGTGCGATGAAATTAGTAAAAAACAAGAGAAAAAAATATCTAGAAATAAAGCAGAGTTGGCGATAGTTTTTAACAACTGGTACGCAAAGACTTGAAAAATTTTTTAATTTTAAAAAATAATAATGTCGTCAACAAGAACTTTGTCAAAATCCGTAAAAACCCTGCTCATGTGCTACTGAATACACAGCGCCGGAAAGCGGCATTGCTTAACACTAATCAGCAGGGCTTAATTTCTAAAAGTAAAAGTGCGGAGTCCTATAAAAGATCGTCGGGAAAGAGGAACAGTGGTAAATAAATAAATAAAATGACTATAAAATTCATTAATGATTTTAAAATTAAATAGTTAAAAGTAATCGAATTAATTAATAATTATTATTTAATTGCTAATTATTTTTAATTCATCCATAATCACCTTGTTATTATTTATTTTAATCATTAAAAATTAAAGTAATTAAATAATTAAGCTGAAATAAAATGTAAAGAGATAAATTAAAAGTTTAAGAAATGATTTTTAATATTATTTTATTGCTAAAAATAAAATTTTCCAGATCAAATTTCTACTGAAATTGTTGTTCAGTTACATAAACGAAGGGCCGGGCCTTCTTATTTAGCGCTCCGGCTAAAACTAGAATTTATCTCAAAAACTAAGAAGTATCGGAGCCGCGTTCCGGCGCAATTCAAACTCTGCTAACCAGTACAACGACGTGGTAAGACATCATGGTTATGGGACGAGCCAAAAAAAAAAAGTCTGAGTTGCCTTGCTATGGCGGCGTCGTGTCCTTGCTATGACTGTCCGTTCTCGACCCTTCCTGTCTGGCTCAGTTGATTTTAAACTGCCGAGCAAGTCGTAACAGTGACGTAGCGAGGGGAGGGCAAGGGGGTGTATGATGCTCCGGGCGCCGCTTACAGAGGTGCACCAAATGTTCAAAAACAAAATCTCCAAACAAGATTATCCTGAAAATTTCAGTTTTTATTTTAATCGATTTCTGGAAAATATATTTTAAATTAATAATTATTGTAATACAATTAATTATATATTTTCTTGATTTGTCTGAAAAAATGTGTAATAAAATGTTTGCAGTACATCAACCAAATATCTCCCCATACGAAACGTTCTTTCTGACCACTTTATTTTTCTAAAATAGAGATATATTTTAATTTTTTTAAACGAAATGCACAAATAGCTTCCGCTTTTTATTTTCAAACGATAACATGACCTTGTGCCGAATTTCTCAAGCATAGCCTGTGTCCAAAAAACGATTCCATAGTTTGAAAATGACATTTTGGGAAACCCCTAACACTTTCACTACAATGGATTGCATTTGACTCTCGTGTTAACGACTGATGGCTTTCCTGGCTGCCGATTCAACTAAGTCATCTTGCTGGGACATCGTATAAAGCTACAAAGCATTCAAACGCGTGTCAATTGTCAATTGTTTCAAATGTGGTATGAGAAAAATTTGAAATGATCGACTTTCATGAAGTCATTGACAAATTTGCTTCATCCAAGGCAAGAAAAATGTATACATAGTAATTAATTGTATTAATGTATTATAATATTATTATTAATGAATATACCTACCTACTAAAAAATAAATAAATAATATCCAGATTCCAAATTACTGTTTCTATTGTAGATGTCTCCATTCAGTGGAGGATTACGCTATAAAAAAGTTTGATGGCTCTAGGTACCTCTGTTTTATCACAATGCGAGAAACATATATACATTTATGCAAATTCTTCATTATTTAATTTCTTTAAATAAATCTCTTTCTTTAAATTTAAATATAAAGAAATTATATTTCTTAAAATTCTTTAAATATATTGTAAACACAGGACGATAATAAGTGCTGGCAAGAATTTGAAAATTGGTTCGCCGTTTTTTAGTGATTCAACGCAAAATGCTAAAACGAAATTACCCCTTCTGGGCTGAAAAAATCTGAAAGCTTTCAGATTTTACTTTATGCCCAAAGGGGCTTTTTTTAACATTTTGTCTGTTACCGTTATTTATTAAATATCATGTTCTTCGCACTTAAACCATAAAATTCAGTTCAACAGCAATATCGCAAAATAATTTTAAAATGAGAACATCTTTAGAGTTTTCAATATACAGACAGGCGCGCTGGAGATAAAATGATTTTTTTACGTAGTTGCCGTTGCTCGCTTTGAAATCGTTGCGTTTTTTAGTCGAAAATTCGTTCAAGTTTTACAAATCGTGAAATAGATAATAAAACAAATTCCAAATTCCAAATTAAGGCTTCCAGATGCCCATATTAAAATGGTGGATTACGTTATTCAAAATTTTATGTCTCTAGGTACCGTTGTTTTCTCACAGCGAAAGAAACATATATTCATGCAGATTCTTCATTATTTAATTTCTTTAAATATAATTAATGCAGGGCTCTAATATTTGGTGGCAACAATTTCAAAAGGGAACCGACATACATAGTGAATCAACGCAAAATGCCAAAACAAAATTAATAATCCTTCTGGGCCCATTGCCCCTTTGGACTAAAAAAAAAGAAATCTTTTAACGACCAATAACCTTTGTTCCAGAAACAATAAAATTGGAAACTATGCTGGACGCTTCTTAAGAAATTTTCCTGCTGTTAGCCCGCATCTTAAGAACTTTTCCTGTTGTTAGCCCGCAAGAAAAAATTCGATTCTGTTGGAGAGGAGATAATTTCTTCATATATGCACAAAATGTCGCTGGTATAAAAGTCAAAAATATGGTTGATAAAATAGCTTTGTCAAGAAATACCGTCATGCGTCGTTCATGTCTAGAAATACTGTCATGCATGAACTGAAAGTGATCGAAATTATACTGAATTTTGGAAATTTGTCCCAACATATTCTTATAGGTTAGGATCAACATATGTTTTTTGAACAAATTTTGTATCATGAATATAATAAAATCAACATATCGTTCAAGATTAACTGATATGCACCTAAAACGCCTAATTTTGGTAGTATCTTAGGGAGCTAATCCTAACACAGACGAATCCCCCCCCGGGAAAAACTACAAATTCAAAAGCTACATTAATTAAGTACTGACCTTTTTAATAATCATTTAGAATTAAATGTTTCAAATTATTCATTTTTATTTTACACATAACTGAGTGAACCTTTAAAATGTTTATTAACACTAAACCTTGGTTTTCCATTTTGTTTCATTAAACTTGAATGGGACTGAATAGATAATATGGAGCTACAAAAAGTCAGTTGTTAGAACAGATTTTTATCACAGAAAGAGTACTTTGTTTACAGATTTCGTACAATAGAAAAATGGTTTAATTAACACTCATTCAAATCTATGTGTTGTAATAATTTCCTTTTATGCTTACAGCACTAAAACTATCTCATGCGAAAATTAATAGGTGTATCACAAAATTCCACATGATTTGGACACAATAAAAAAGAAATGCATTTATATGAACATTAAAGAATATACTGAAAATGACATGAAACGGAGTTTCGTAGCATTTCAGATAAAACTGAATATCAGATAGCGGAAAGTCAGATAATGCGGCTGTATAGTAACTAATCATAGTCTTTATGCCGATCATTTGTTATATAAATTTTACAAATCTATAATAATATGATAAAAAAATCAATTATTTGCTTTAATAATTACTTACTTGAAATCTGGCTCTTCGGCTTCTTTGAATTTTCCTTTGATGCACATATTTCCTTTACCAAGATCCACTATTTTTCCACGTGCACTCATCCGCCGAGTAGCCGTTATCTCGGTAATTTTGCAGTATGTCCTACTCCACCACGGCCGTTTCAGAATCCAGTGAGCGTTTGGAGCCGTTCTTGCCCACCCTTCATCAGCAAAAAGCAAAATTTTGCTTGGCGATCCCTCGTGGTTGAGGATTTTCCGACAAGCTTGACCATGATTTTCATAATAGAATAATTGCACCATGACGGAGAACTGGTTTGAAGCACAAATCTTCTTGTTTGGAAGTGTGTTACCTCATTGATTGTAGCCGGAAGCAAAAGAAATTTTATGTAGTACTGTTTAGAAGTTTATAATTAATCTATTTTTTACCCTTTGGAGAATGTTATCCAGTTGTAAATATGTTTTGGTTGAAGACTAAACGACTGCAGGCCAAGTTGCTCGCTTTCCGACGGACAAGAATGGCAGTTTAATGACGAATATCTTCTCTGCAAATGACTCAATAACGCTTCACAAATATTACAATATAAAACACTGGAAACATTTTCAAAGCCTGAAATTTCATTTCCCACCTTCAGTTTTAGAGTCAAACGATTGTGTATGTGTGTTTTATGACTTCAACTACAAGCCATTTTTAGGCGAATAGAACATCTAGTTACCAACGTATTATACGAATGCCCATTTCGAAAACATTCTTGACTCCATTTCAAACTCAGCTATCATGCGCCCTAAATTACTAAACACAAAAGCTAAAGATCAGCTGAACATCTTTTCATTAGCGATTCCATGCTTTCAAAAACCCAAGATCCAAGTTACTGTTTACTGGATAAAAGCTGTTATCGTGGATCCCCGACATACAACGACAGAAACTCGATTACAACTCAATAATCCTATCTGACCTGCTTAGTATCAAAGCTGACCAACATAGCGGCAGTGGATGAAACCTTATAAAAACACTTAACCGTGCCGATTGAATCCGAAACCTTCTCTGCACGCAGCCGATAGTTGCCATGCTACCGCTTGCTCTCTGTATCACCCTCTTCCTGAGCTACTCGCGCATGCGTGTGGTAGCAGCTTGGAGATTTTTAGCGAGAACAATGCTGAGAGTAGGGAAAGTATCAAAGGGAGGGAAGGGGCCCTTTTGGAAGGATGCCCAAACAGATCCTTCGCGGATTTATGCTGATCTCCCTCTCCTACCTCCTCTGGGATATAAAATGCAATTTAGGGTGGATGTATCGAGTGTTAGCGAAAAGGGTTGAGATTGAAAGAGTTGCGTGTATATATAAAGAGCAGCCTGTTGAAGTGAAAGCGATCGAAGAACAAAAGATTTGAAGCGGGGAATTCAGAATTGATACTATCGAAGGTTTTAACTAAATACATCAGGTTTTAACCTATCTAAATAACCCATAACTGCAAACAAATTAAACTCTGCCTATCATTTAGCAGAACTAGAATTCGGTTTATTGCAGCAACTTCTTTCATTATACACAGCGGTTCTCCACCTTTCAGCTAACGCGTACCATCTAAACAAAACGTGAAACCCTCTAATACCACCATTACATTTTACAATGATTACTTTTCAATTTCTACATAATTTTTTTTTTTTAATTTATTTTTTTTTTAATCTGAAAGCCCAAATTTTATATTACCCCCAAAGGAGCGTTTATTTAATGCTTTGTGTGTTACCTTTATTTATTAAATATCATGTTCTTCGCACTTAAACTATAAAATTCAGTTCAAGAGCAATATCGCCAAATAATTTTAAAATGAACAACATATCTTTAGAATTTTCGATACACAGTATCGCATAAAAATGTTTTCTCTGTACTACATTGCCATTGCTTGCTTTGAAATCCTTGAGTTTGTTAATCAAAAATTCGTTAAAGTTTTACAAAATGTGAAATCGATAATAAAACAAATTCCATATTTGCTGGAGACAAGTATTCCATATTTGCAAAAAAAAAAAAAAAAAAAAAAAAAAAAAAAAAAAAGATGTCCATATTCGCAGGAAGATTAAGTTATTCAAAATTTGATGGCTTTAGGTACCGTTGTTTTATCACAGTGGGAGAAACATTTATTCAGCCTGTTCATTATTTAATTTCTTAAAATATAACACAGGGCGATAATATTTGGTGGCTACAATTTGAAAAGTGAAACGGACATTTAACTTTTCAACACAAAATGCCAAAACGAAGTTAATAGCCATATCTGGGCTGTTCAAAATTTGACGGCTATAATGACCGTCGTTTGTTCACAGTGCGAGAAACATTCATGCAGATTCTTCATTAATTAGCTACTTTAAATATGATGCAGGGCGATAATATTTGGTGGCAATAGTTTGAAAAGAGTATCGATGAAAAATGCCGTTTCGAAATTGATAGCCCTTCTGTACCTTTAAGGCCCTTTGGGCTAAAAATATTTTTGCCATTTGCCCAACTTATTGCATATTTAAATTAAATATACACATAAAAATATTAGATTAAAAATTCGTTACCATTTTAATTATCAAAATTGAAGTTATAATATTTTAATTCTAAAATTTAGTGCGAAATTTGGGTCTGTTTAAGATAAATCTTTTTTTTTTTTTTTTTTTAATGTCTAGTCTTATTTCGCTTAGTTTTAAGCGTAAATTACAACCCACATTTTATTTTGTTCTGTACTTATTTCTAAAGTATAACCATGAAGAAAATTCTTCTTAACACATAAAGGTTGGGCAAAAAGGCAATAAAAATTTAAAGGCTTTATTTGAAATGTTTTTAAATTCTTTTTTTCTGTTGAGCAAAATATTAACAAGTGCGTTATTTTTGAAATCTTCAGTTAGAGTTCAATCCAAGGAAATTTCTATCAATTGTTCTTTTTCTTCACGAGATAAAATTTCAGGTACATTTGAAAAAAATGGATTTCTAATCCAATTTTTTTTTCACAGTTCTCGGGAAAATGCATGTTGAAACTATATATCAATGAAAAATAATGATTTTTAATGTCGGATGCTAATTCCTCTTCTGTTTTCAAATTATTTTCGGTTAGAAAACTTTCTAAAAGTGGCAAAAAGCTTAAGATATTATTATCCAACTCTTTAGTTACTAGCTCAATTTTTTTTTCTTTGCCTTTATTTTATCTCTAACGATATACAAATTAACATTTTGTCCTTGTAATCCTAAATTTAATTCATTTAACTTTCCAAAAGTAACAGCTAAATATGCTAAACGCGCCAACCATAATTCACTAAATAAACATTTTTGCAATTCAAATTTTGAATCACAGAGGAAATTTTGAAATTCTGATCGAAGTTAAAAAGACGATTTAAAACTTTACCTCCGGATAACCACCTTACTTCGGAATGTAACAAAAGCGTTTCATATTCACTGCCCATCTCTTGGCATAAAATCGTAAATATTCGTGAATTGAAAGCTCAGCTTTTAATAAAATTAATAGTTTTCACAATCTGTTTTCACAAAATTAAACAACACTTTTTAAATTGCTGCGTATATTCTCACATGGATTTCTTGGTGTGGTGACATATAATTTCGAATGTTTCCCTTCCTACAAGACTGTCACCGTAGTTTAAAAATCCGCCGTGTATATAATAAAGCTTCATAACATCTTATGCTGACAAATATGAATTCTGCTTAGTAAAACTTTTAATCTTTTTCATGATCTTCCATCCAAATAAATTTGTTGCTCTGCGTACTGTTTTCATTTTCCCCCTCTCCTCCTCCTCATTAGCATTCTCCTTTCCTAGTCCATGTTCCACTATTTCATCATTATATTGAAAAAGTGTGATGGGGATTTGTTGTTCGTTTGTTTTCGTCAACTCTTCACTAACATTAACTTTCTTCGAGCATGTAAATCAAAGATGCCCGATACGAGCGCAGGACATGTTTCTAAACTAAGATAATTCTTTGCCCTTAGAACGAACATAATCATAGGCCACAGTTTATGCTAACGATGACATAATGTGATGTGCATGACATCTTCCCATTCAAAAAATAAAGCAAATTTGGCATCTGTCAGTGTAAATTGTTTATGAAAATCATGAACACTGTCTCTAAAGTGAATACATTAATACATAAAAATGATCTACAGTTCATCTTTATATTCTGGATAACTTCTTGGGGGCAAATTCCACAAATGAGATACTTATTCAAAAAATAAAACACGGTGAGTATTTCGCATTGCAACTGGATGAAAGTACTGATATAATGAATTTTGTTCAATTGTTAGTTTACATAACGTTTCGAAGACGATAAACGAACTGCAGAAGATTATTTATTTTGTAAATCTCTTCATGATAAAGCAATGGAAAATGAAATTTTCAGAGTAATTGACAATTTTACGGCTGAGAATGATTCCTTGGAATAAGTTCATTGTCATATGCATTTACGGAACTCGGCTTTAGCAGGAAAACATACCGGCGTTATTTCTCAAATAAAGAGAATCGCACCTGAAACTAAATTTACTCACTGCTCCATTCATCGTGAAGCTTTAGTAGCCAAAAGAATCCCCGAAAATCTGAAAACCGTTTCGATCAGGTTGTGAAAACTCTTAATTTTATTAAAAGCTGAGCTTTAAATTCACGAATATTTACGATTTTATGCCAAGAGATGGGCAGTGAATATGAAACGCTTTTGTTACATTCCGAAGTAAAGTGGTTATCCGGAGGTAAAGTTTTGAATCGTCTTTTTAACTTCGATCAGAATTTCAAATTTTCCTCTGTGATTCAAAATTTGAATTGCAAAAATATTTATTTAGTGAATTATGTTTAACGCGTTTAGCATATTTAGCTCATATTTTTGTAAAGTTAAATGAATTAAATTTAGGTTTACAAGGACAAATTGTTAATTTGTTTATCATTAGAGATAAAATAAATGCAATGATAAAGGAACTCGAGCCAATAATCAAAGAACTGGCTAATAATATTTTAAGCTTTCTAGCACCTTTAGAAAATTTCTTAACCGAAAATAATTTGAAAATAAAAGAACAAGTAGCATCCGACATTAAAAATCGTTGTTTTTCTTCGATAAATAATTTCAACGTGTGTTTTCCCGAAAGAAAATTGAATTAGAAATCCAGGTTGTTCAAATGTACCTGAAATGTTATTTCGTGAATAAAAAGAACAATTGATAGAAATTTCCTGTGATCAAACTCTAACTGAATACTTCAAAAATAACATACTTGTTAACTTTCGGCTGAACTGAAATAAAGAATTTAAAGGCATTTCAAATAAAGCTATGAATTTTTTATTGCCTTTTTGTATTCCTATTTATGTGAATAATGATTTTCTTCCATGTTATATTTGAAAAATAAATATAGAACAAAATTTAAAGTGGATTTACGGTTAAAAATGAGTGAAACAGGACCAGACATAAAAAAAATTGGTCTCTCTTATACAGGTCCAAATTTTACACTAAATTTTAGATTTAAAGTATTATAACTTAAATTTTGATAATTAAAATGATAACCAGTTTTTAATCCAATATTTTTATGTGTGCATATTTAATACAAACAGCCATAGGTTGTGCAAATGGCAATATATATATGTATATATATATATATACATATTAGTATTTCTATTGAGAAATTGAAAAATAATCATTGTAAAATGTAGTGCTGGTACTAAGATTTTCCAAATTTTCCTTAGATGATACAAGTTATTCAAAAGGCTTAGAACGGCTGCATTAAACTATAATTATGTGGCACTTTAACAACAAAATCAGGCCAAACTCAGCATCAAATAATCATTAGTTTCACAGACAAATTTTATGCATCATTGAGAGAGATTAGCAACGAAAGAAGTCCAGAGGCATCGGAAATACAGCATTAAATTAAAAATATAGGTATATATAAAACTCGTGTTTTCATGGAAAAGCATCACTTAATTTTACAGCTATTTCATTGAATGGGATATAGTTTATTCCCATTTCTACTTCTTTCTTTGCTAAATAAGCGGAAGTTTACTTAGACATATTACTAGAGGCTTTGTCTATATGAAGGTCAACTTT